TTTTGGGTGACGCTGGAGAAGCTTTTGGATATTCCAACATGATTTGGGGCCAAAACGATTCTCAAGTTGCTGATGATGAGATCAACAATGTGGTAAGTTATTATCAAATCACTAGTTTTTTCACCCGTGCAAACGCGGGTCTGTTTTATAGTTTGATTAACTTTTTTTTATACATAAATTTTTGTCGTTAGTAGCACGTTCATGATGACTCTTAAATGGTGTTCAAATTTTTCGTCAATTGTTTATTTTTCTTTGATCTATTCTTCTTTATTTGGTTTTTTCTTCTTCTTTGCTTTCTTCTTCATCTTTACTCTCCTTTTATGTTTCTTCGTCCTCGTGGTTTCTTATTCCGTTATAGTAGAAAATCTATAAATTAATAATATCGGGCATAAGTATTTTATTAATTTAACGAAATCTTATTTTTCGCCAATTGTTTATTATTCTTCGATCTATTCTTCTTTACCTTCTTTGTTTCATCTTTACTCTCCTTTTATGTTTTTTCCTCGTTTTCTTATTGTTATTTGGTCTGTTTCTTCATCTTTGTTCATCTTTTGTTTATTTTTTGTTTTCGTTCTTTGATATTTTTGTCTGTACTTTTTTTTATTCTGTATTATTCTTTTGTTTTTTCTATGATTAGTTCAGACGGTTCGAAGTTATAGAGTTTTGCTACTTTTTTTCTTAGATTATTCTTTGCTGGAATTTTTTAACCATTGTATCCTTTTAGAAATATTTTTTATGTAATCCTCTTTATGTAAAATAATATTTTCACTATTTGATACACTTAACCAAACTTAAAAATGTAAAGGATTCATAGAAATAAAATAAAGTTAGAAATATACAAATATATATTCACACATATATTGAACAATGTCTAACAATAATTCAATTTATGTGATCATAAATATATAGTTAAGCATAACTTTCAATTTATATTATATGGGGAGATTTTTTATTTATATTTTTGTTCTTTGTTATTTTTCGTCTTCGCTTTTCTTAATCTATATTTTTTTTTTTGGCTTTTCTTGGTTCTTATTCTTCTATTTCTTCTATGGTTTATTTTTTTCATCGAAAATGCTAGGTTTCCCTATAGTTTGTTTATTCCAGATTCCTCTTCTTCTATGTATTGTTTGTTCTTCGCTTAAAATTCTCCAGGACTATATTTTTTGTAAAATATGTTTATTATTAACCTCTTTAATCTTAGGTAGAAACAAATTTTCACTATCTATCTAAACCTTTAAAAAATAAAATGTATGTCTAACAAATTTAATCTAGATAAGCTAATATTATTGTAGATAAACTAATGCTACTATTTAGGTTGGATTTCTAGGAGTATGAAATTTATTTGAAGAGAAGTTAATTGACACATCGTTGTTCTTCATTTCCTTCTTTACTCACTCTTGTTTCTATGTTTTTTAATTTTATTTCTTGATTCTCTTCATTTTTTTCTACTTTGATTTTTTTTTATTCTTATTTGGTTTCATATTTATCTTCACTCATCTTCGCTTCGGCTCTTCTTCGTCTTTGCTTTTCTTTATTCCTCTGTCTTGTTCTTGTTTGGCTTCTGCTCTTCTTCGTCTTTACTCTTCTGTACCCTTTCTTTGTATTCTTGTTTGGTTTTATTTCCTTCTTCCACTTTCGTTTATATATTTTTATTTATTCTTCTTTAATTTCTCCTACTTTGATTTCTTCTTTATTCTTATTTAGTTTTTTTTTTCATTTTCACTCATCTTTGCTTAAACTTTTTTATTTATTCCTCCTATGTGTTTTTTTTTCATATATTTGGTTCTTGTCTTAGCAATATAACTAATTTACATGACAACTTTTTTTTGTTGTAAGTAGAAAATATATTTTTTATTTTTAAAAATATTTAATTACTTGAAAAGAAATTGTGATTACATGAAGGTTTCTATAAAAAGGAAAATAATTACTTAATTTTAGTGATTATCTGGAATGATATTATTGGGCTGTTTAAAATCATATATATGTAATAAATAATTTCTTTATTTCTTACATATTTAAAAATTGTAAATTTTTTTAATCATGTATATCTTTATGTAGACCAATCAAATTTAAATAGTAAATTTTATATGATGATATGTAATGATATTATTGGTTATTTTCCAATTAAGAAACTTTCTTGAGATATAAAAAGTTGATTAAATTAATTTTTAGAAATATAATTTATTTCCTATGATGATGTCGACTGATACTATTGGTTATTTAAAATTGGAAACTTTATTAATATTGGAAAACGCTTACATGGACCAATAATATCGAGTTTTTAAATCCTATGTAGACGCTATCAGAGGCTTATAGCCTCAACTTTAGGAATTGTGATGTTTTTAATTCAAATCTGGTTAGATAATGATTGTTGTCATATATCTTAGATTTTTTTTTAAAAAAACATATTAATTTAGTTTATTTTTTTGTTGGTATTAAAAAGAAATATGTTGTAAAATCTTTAATGCAAAACATTTATAATATATTTAGATTAGGAAACTTTCTTGAAAATAAAAAGGAAATTACCAAATTTTATATGATGATGTGGAGTAATACTATTGGTTGTTTAAAATCTGGAAATTTCCTAATTGTGTAGATGCTTATATGGACCAATAAAATCGGTTTCCTAAATCCTATGTGGACGCTCTTAGAGGCTTATAGCCTCAACTTTTATATAGTATAGATTTTTTTATTCGCCTTTTTGCTGTGTTGTTTCATGTTAAGTATGATCTCAAATTTAGCTAAGCTTCCTCCTAACCTCTCTTTGGAGGTTAAGGTTAAATCTTGGATGTTGATTTTAATTTAATTCGTTGAAACCCTTATCTAGGTCTTCATACACTTTAATCATAACCCTAAAGCAAAAAGAAGAACACTCTAACATATAAAATTATGAAAGCGTAATTCATAAATAAAGTAGCGAAAACACCACCCATTAATTAAAAACGCCCTAACCTTACACTAAACACCCTAACCATGCTCTCATACCAATAATATAGTTGGTTTTGTTGAAATCAGGAGGAGGATGCAGGAGATGAGGAAGTTGCTGCAAATGTTGAACTTTTAAACGAGAAGAATGTGGCAGTGGAATCTGACTTTGAAGATAGCAATGCTACTGATGCTGATGAGCTATGCGCTGTGCGGGATGCATTTGAGGCGTTGGTGATGATGTCCCCAGATTTGTATGATGATCAAAAGAGGATGCAGCTCGAGAGGTTGATGAATCTTGGAGCAGGGGAAAGAAAAGAGTTGAGCGATGGATGGAAAGCTTTATTGGATGAGCAAGTGAAATTTGAGATGATGAAGCTTAGTTTTTTCGTAAACCTTGGAGAGAAAGCAACTGGTAAATGAAAATGAAGATGCCATTTGCAGTATTTTGGTGTTGTTTTTAGGGTAAGTTGATCCTTTTTGGAGTTTGTTGTGGCTTGGGAAGATGCTTTACTCATAAGATTAGGGTCTAAGAGGTTTATGACTATTTACTAAGTGTGGTTACTTTTCAGACATCACACCTATCAATCTAATTTCTTGTTATCCCCATGCCAATCCATTTATGGGACGAATAATGTCTCTCAGTTTTGTTCCTGAATTGAACATTGTGATTCAAGGTTGTCCTTGACAAGAATTTTATCATAGTTTTTTTTCTCTCTAATGTTTAATTTCTCCTTCTTTTATATATACTTCTATACTTTGCGATCCGCTTGTGCATCATCAATTCAGTCCAGTCAAATTGTAAGCTTTGTTATGTATCAATCATCAAACAATTGGCTTCTTCTCTAATAAATCCTGCAAACACAAAACCAGATTTCTTGAAGTGTCTACATAAAACTCTTTTGTTTTTTTTCAGTAAAACTATTTTCCTCACCGCGTATAGATCAAGCCCACCGTGGGAAACATTTTTTTTGGTTTTCCCATCTCTTTATGTCCATCTTGTCTATACTTGAAAAGTTTATTTCTCTGATTAGTCTTTCGGTCTGAAAATTGGCTCAATTCCTTTATTTGTATTCTAAAATATGAAATAGCTGATCATTTCCTATGTATTGTGCGTAGATGTTTAATTTTGGAAAAAGAAGAATGTTTTGTAACTTGTAAGAAAATCTAGCACCGTTAATACATGAGACCTAGAGGAAGAAGTAACAGTTGATATCGTACAAATTACAAATGCGAGAATTGTGAGTATAAGTAGAATGATCAACTTTATAAATTCTTACCTAGACTTATAACAAGAAATTTCATAAAGAGACACATGAACACATGAATCTTCACTGGATCTTTATCTATCTTAATGAATTCTCATACTCTAAAATCCATAGTCGTCCACTAAACAGTAGTAGCAATAACACAAGTTTTCTCTTAATTAATTAATAATGTTGCAGTTAAATCATCTCAATTCCCAGTTTCAAATTCCTTAATGCAAACACACATAAATTTCATGGAAGTAGTTGAGAATTTTGATTGATAAAACCAGTATCAACAATTTTTTTTATATATATAATATTTTCTATTTACTTCTTTGATTTTTATGACTCTGCATGCTAAAAAGGTGCATTTGATGAGTACCGAGAAGATTAGGACTTAAGAACTTGGAAGAGAGTGTTTAGACTGAAAATTAATGTTACAAAAATCGTAACGGTCCAATCAGCTCTTGATTTTTCAGTTTCTCGAGGAGATTAGGTTTAACTTTAGCACTTCTCCTTTTCCCCTCTTGTAAAATAAAATCATGTGGTAAATAATTAAGGTAGAAGCAACGCGTGTACTCCAAAGCTCACAAGTGTCCATGTTCTGTAATAACTAATAAGACCTCCTCTTCTACTGTCTCCACAAGTTGCTGATACACTCAGATTACTCAATTTCGGAAAATCAGGTTTCCTGTTTCTCTCTCGAATCTCTGATTAATCGCCGTGTGAATTTCGATTTTGATTTTGATTAATTTCTCTGCATGCAACAATTGCTCATTGCTACTTTTTTTCTTCAGATCTTTCTGGAATTGAAAGGAACTTGTAACCATGTCGACTTCACAATCCCTCTCCGGACGAAAATCCCCGCGGAAACATGCAGAAGAAAAAGAACAGACGACGAAGAAGAGAAGCAAAACCAATCAATTGGCTTCTTCGCCGGCACAGAGCAACCCGATCTGGGACAAGGAAGACGAGCTCGCTCTGTTAAAGGTCTCTCTCTCTCTACACTTCTTCATCTTTTGATTGATTCGTTAAATTTTCTCACTCAAATCTTTTGTACAAAATCAGGGATTAGTGGATTATCAAGCTAAATCAGGACTCCAATCAGACGTTGATTCCGATGCTTTTCGTCGATTCATCGGAGATTCCATTACCGCAAAATTCTCTAAAGAGCAGATACAGAGTAAGATCGGAGACTTGAAAGAGAGATTCTTTACTCGCGTGGAGAAGATCAGTCCAGGAGAAGATCCGACCTTTAGTGACGATGAAGAAGCTTTTGGATATTCCAACAAGATTTGGGGCCAAGATGATTCTGATTTTGCTGATGAGCAGATCAAGAACGTCGTCGTTGTAAGTTTTTTTTATCATTTTTTAGTCAGTTTTTACTTGGCAAAACCATACTTCTCTAGAAACCACAATCGAAAATATCTATTTGGTTTGTTGGATAATCAGGATAATGTCAAACCTTCAAATGCGGCGGCAGCAGAAACTGAATCGGCAACGGAAACAGAAACTGAAACTGAATCTGAATCGGAAACTGAATCGAGTGAGGGTGATAATGAGATTGGTGATGCTGATGAGTGGTTGCGGGATGCATTTGAGACGTTGGTGTCGCGAGGTTGGAGTGATTATCAGAAGAAGCCTTATCTTGAGAAGTTCATCGGCAACGGAAACAGAAACTGAAACTGAATCTGAATCGGAAACTGAATCGAGTGAGGGTGATAATGAGATTGGTGATGCTGATGAGTGGTTGCGGGATGCATTTGAGACGTTGGTGTCGCGAGGTTGGAGTGATTATCAGAAGAAGCCTTATCTTGAGAAGTTGATGAGACTTGAAACCAGAAAAAGAAAGGAGTTGAGCGATGAATGGAAGGCGTTGTGCTCTGAGGAATCGAAATGGATGATCAAGAAGGTTAGGTTAACCGCAAAACTTGTGGAGTTTGCAAATTTCAAGTGAAGATGAAGAAGCCCATCTGTAGTATTTTGTGTTTTGTTTAGAACAAAGTTGTTCCTATTGAAGTTGTGGCTTGGTGGAAGATGCTTTTAGTCATTAGATTAGAGGTCTTAAGTGGTTTATGACTAGAGGTATGTACTAAATGTGGTTACTTTCTCAACTAACTATGGTTTAGTTATGATCTTTAGGATTTTGGAGAAGGCTTAATCTAGTGTTTTGGTCTTTTGATCAATTTCCTCTGGTTTGAAACAATTTCTTCTTGCCTGTTGTTTCTGTCAATAACCATCTATGTTGTTTTAGTCAAGATAGATATCATTACTTTCAGTGTGTCTCTCATGAATTCTATCACAGAAAGAACCTCATCCAGAGCGTTCTTCAACCAAATTACTACAAGAAACGGTCTCGACTCTGTTGATCTACTACAAGAATGATTCATGTCAAAACTATACAAGTTTTTGTTTGTCTTGCTTGAGACTTGGAGTAACTGTGGATTTCTTGTAGCAAACTGTTTCTTCTAGGAATTGGGGACAATGTTTTGAATATAATCCTTTTAACGAACTTGAACTTTTCCCAAAAAAAAAATATATTGCATTCTTGAGCTGCCTTAAGACATGAAACTATTACAAGCACATTGTGAAACATTAGGCCCACTTGGTAGTGGTACATGCAAAAACAAAATGCTATTACCCGACCAAGTATTGAGCTTTCTACAAGTGGCCTAGTTTTGACTTTTTTAATACGAGAGATACATAAACTCATTAGCCGAGTTATAAACAAGAATCGGTATATCAAAAGCTGTTTCTTGGAGAAGAAGCCACCGATCTGAACCTTACTTTACTAACAATATGTTCTAATTATTCCTCTGCTGATGTGGATTCGTGAATACTTGTATTCCATGACAATTTGGTTCTTGTTTGTTAGCCTCTTGCTTCTTCAAGAATCAAGATACTATAAATTAAGAAAGTTCCTACTTAAAATTCTGTTCGGAAGATCTCACTGGTATTAGTTTTATTTTACAGGGTTTCTTGCATCTTAATCGGATCTGACCAATACTGAATGTCTCATAAGTTTGTAACTTACCAAATAGAAAAGCTGAGTTGACCTGAGAGAGAGAGCTAAATAAGGTTCTTAATGTCTTGTGACCAAAGTGTCTAATACAAAGCTAAAGTACGCCCTAAAAGTTTCAGGACCACATACTCACAAATATGATGATTATGTTTCTTTCTAACAACATCAAAACGAGAGAGAGAGAGGTGCTACGAACAGACATACAAAGAAAGATCAGCGGAAGGAAGCGACTTGGAAGACTTCTTCTAGAGCAAAGAGCAGATTCTAGAGATGGTTCGGGTTTTGCGGGAAAGACCCGCCACTACCTTCACCATGATCTCCCATTTGCTGCACATCTTCCGGCGATAGTATCTTTATGTACCAAACATTATTCACAAATGACCTGCACAACAACAAGCTTTGATTTCAAGATTTGATCCCAAATGTAACATACAGATTCAAGAACGAGTAGTGTTTAAAACTTACTCCCACGGGTCGTCTCCAAGGAGAAGAATATCATTTTCCTTGTCAACGAATACAAGCTGCCAGCCTGATCTAAGGGGGTCTTCCAACAACCCTTCGATAGCAAACATCTTCCCTAACTCTTCTCGCAGCTCATGATAGCTGCTGAATCGGGAGATGTCTAGTGAACGCCCCACCGAACCAGATTTATAAACCTGCATTTGTTTCGGATTCGCAAAGCAAGACAGTTAGAGACAGCATAAGAGTAACAAAGATGTTGTTGGTGAGCTCAAGAACACAGCCAGGACCTTTACAAAGTTCTTGGTTTCGGTGGAGGACGGGTTAATCTGTCCAGCTCCATGCAATAGCTCATGAGTTGTGTCTTGCATGCAGCTATACAAGGAGTTCTGAAACCCTGAATCTGTTAGTGACATAGGGGAAGCTTCAGCGTCTCCTGATGAAGAAGCAAAGCGAGGGAGGAAAAGACCAGAGTCGTGATCAACGCCGAAAAGAGAAGGATTCTGAGGGTTAAGGTTCAGATTCCCGGTTTCTAGGGCAAGACTCTTCCCTACATAGGCTTGTGGAAGTGACAACGGTTCAGAGAACGTGTTGGTTGCTTTTGGAGACCATCCTTCATTGGTTAACTGCTCAGGCAGTACTACAGACTGACCGGTTATAGAGAAGTTCAAAAGATTGTTGCCATCTCCAGAACCAGGAGAGGCAGAGTTTTGTTGCATTGGACTAACTGTTGTTGCAAATTTGTTGCCTGAGTCGGTGAAATCCGACTTCATGAAAGACGGTGAAGGCATATCCGAATGCTGCTGCCACTGTTGAAGATGACCACCGTTTTGCATCTTGAAAGCATTCAGATAAGCGTTTTGGTCCGGTTTTTGTAACTGCTGCTGCTGCTGCTGGACAGCTTGTTGGTTACTAACTTCTTGCCGCATGTTCTGCTGAGGAAGACTCTCACTCATGATCTGAGTTTGAGCATGCAGGAGATGGCGTGACGCCGCCTGTTGCTGCTGCTGAAGCAACAAATCAGAGTTGTGAGAAGCTGATTGTTGAAGATATTGGTGCTGGTGTGGATCTTGCATCTGGACAAACTGTTGTTGTCTGAGAGGATCTCCACCGCCCATGTTCTGTAATCCGGCTGCTAACATGGCTTGGTATTGCTGATTGTTATTATCGTTCCCGAGTTGAGTGAGATCCATCCTTTGTTGCATCCATGGAAACAAACCAACAGATGGAGGATAATTTAGAGGAAGCAAACCTTGCTGCTCTCCTCCTCCTCCTCCTCTTAGCCATGTTAGTCCACTTCCTAATTCACCCCTTCCATCTGCAACAACTCCACAATCAGAAACTGAATATTTGAGTGACAGTAATAGATCTTAGGCCTAAGATTCACAAAACTTGTTAATACCATACCGTGTGATGTGCCAGCATGCCAGGGACGTTTTAGCCTGAGAGGGAACAGAGATGGATACATAGGAAAGGTAGTCAGAGGCTCAATCTCCCATAAGGAAACACGTGGCTGTCTCTCCCCTGCAGTAGATTCATCCCAACCAACCTACACCAAGAATGCAACAGACCTTAAAATGTATATATACTTGAAACGGCGTTTCATACATGGAGGGATGGGATTAATAGTGTTACTACCTTGACAGAACGCCAATGAGAGTTTGGCCAACGAACAGAATCAAGATCACTGATACCAGTAATAGTACCCATGTACCTGGAAAGTGTCCCTTGCTTCTGTCAGAATTACATGTTAAGGCAAATATGTGTAACGTTATGATATAACTTTCTCAGTTTTGTGAATCATCACCTGCGGACGCTTGACTCTTCTGTCTCGAAGAGCATGCGAAAGCGCATCCCAACTGAGATACGCGTGTGGAAAACGGCTTTAATGTACTTGGAAAGTTGTATCACAAACTCAGATGGACTAGCCCTGAACATGAAGATAAAGATTAGTAAAACATATTATCCGATATACCGAAAGAAGAAGAAGAAGAAGAAGAAGATTCTTCAAACCTTGGATGGAAGAAAACGGTGAAACAGCTGTTAGTGGCAGAAGCATGAGCAGCAGCAGCAAGGAGTCCAATATGCATGCTATCACTAGATAAGACAGATGATGGCACTATAGTCTGTGGCCGAGTAGCACGACGAATTCCCAAAAAGAGTTGATTCTTTTCATTCCTGACAATGAGAAATACAGTCAAAAGATATAATCACGATTCTACAAAAGTGAACGTGCAATGAAAAGAAATGAAACCTGATGAAAATGACAGAATCTCCAGCTACTAATCGCTTGGCACTGACAAAGACACTCCATCCAGTAGTTAGGAGATGCCTTTTGGGCTGTCCTGCATAATCACACAAGAACTATGTAAGTCATTGCTATTTTAGGTAACAACAAAGCAGGATCCAAATTAATTGGCTTAATGTCAACAAGTATGTAACTTTATTTGGTAAAGAACCTGAAAGAATTTTTATTCTAAGCTTTTTTTTCAGACATTTTTCTTGCTTTTCTAGTTTCTAGGCCTTATAATCTGATTTCTTGTTCCATGTCTATCAACAAGTAATAGTTCCAAGGAATGACACGCAGGGAACACAAAGAAAACGTAGTTGCTCTAACTTAACCAAACAGGAGTAGTGAAAAAAAAGCAGAATGACATAACAGAGCAATAATCCTAGTTAATTCCGCTAAAGCATACTTAGCAGCCAGTTTACAGACGAACAAGAATGTCTTTAACGGACTAAACCAACTCAAGCAAGACAAATATATGCTGTTAAAGGGACCATCAACTCACAGCAAGGAAAAGTGAAACCTACCTCGAAAGATATGCCTAAACTTCCATTCAACATCATGGAGATCTCTTGCGAGCAATTCTTGAGCTGGTGGCTGCAGTGAGTAATCCTGATACAGGGAAGAGACAAGATATCAAAAAGAGTACAATTATATCAGCAAGTAGACGCTAAAGAGAAAAAGAGTTATACCAATGGAGGAAAAACTTTCTCAGCAGCGCGTCTAGGAACAGAGAAGCCTCCATGAGTACTAGTATCACTAGCTGTGAGAGTCTTGCAGAAGTAATTACTAGGTTGCTTGCTCGGAATCCCCAACTCAATCGGTACAAATGTTTCCTTCTGCTCTTCCTAATACCAAAACACCAAAAACTCTATAACTTATTGACACACTCGAGTACATCAAAAACTTGTTATGTATGTAACATAACATACTGGTGTCAACGGTTGAAGTGTCATTTGAGCATAGACTTCATCCGTCTCAACATCTGCCTGAAAAGAGCAAACGAAACCCCATACTTTCAAAGTAAATCATACCCCCAAAAAACCACTTTTAAAGAGATAAAAAAAAAAGAATCGAAAGTGGGAAAGTGACAGGGAACTAACTAACTACGCACATGCATTGTAACATTATGGAGCTGGCAAATCAATTGTGGTGGTAGGCTTGGGTAATTTGGTATGTGACCATCAACTTCCTTATTAGTTGTAGCAGCTACCTACAAGTACACTTCAATTTATATACAAATGCCACAAATATAAAAAGAAACTAGTAACAAAGTAAAAGCTCCATACTTTTTATAACTTCACAACAACAACAACAACAAAAATCCAATCTTTAAACCCACTAAACAAAAACAAAAACAAAAAAGCTTGAACCTGTTCACTGTGACCCTGTGGAAAGTAGACAACACGGCTTCCAGATGAAGGAAGAGAGACTAATGGTCCAGCACAAGCATGCCATAGCTCAGAATTCAGACATTTCTCTCCTGTTTGAAACATTACAAGAACTAAGAAACTTGTCCAGATTCCAGAAAAAAAAAAAAATGTATGAATGAAATTGAAAATCAGATTACCTTCATGACCCTGTTGACCCAATCCAGATGTCGATAGCTTCATATCTGAAGAGTTAATAGAATCTCCAGATTTTTCTAACTTAGTGAATTGACTTATTAAAAAAAACCCTAATTTTTCCGTACAGTCTATTTTTTTTTTCACTTCCAGCTACTACAGTAGCTGTAACTCTTGAGCTCATGAAGCACAAACTCGTCTATCTCCATCTCCTTTCCTCTTCCCCAAATTTCTCCCACCATTAAGAGTCAGAGAAAGCTTACTTCCATAAACCCCCAAAACGCAGGAAACTGAATAAACCCCATTTTTTCTCTCAGAACCAGACTCTGTTTCTTCTCATCATCAAAGCTTGAACACTACTACAGCTACACATTGAGCTCACTCAACGAAAGTTAAACTAAAAATACCCCTTTCTTGCAAGATCTTTGTGAAGTTGAGAAGAATGAAAGAAGAAGAAGAAGAAGAAGAAGACAAAAGACAATCTCTTCTTCACTTGGCGTCTCTCGTGGACAATTAAATCGCTTGAATCAGTTCCATCGCTGTCTACAAGAGAGACACTTTGGCTTTCAAAAACAGAAGAGAGAGAGAAAGGAGCAGAGAGAGAGAGAGAGATATATGTGTCAGAGAGAGAAAGAAGAGTTCGTGGGGGTGAAAGAGAGAGAGAAAGTGAGTGGTTTTCCTCTTCTTATAAGGGACCCGACCCGACCCGGTTTGACCCGGTTCGAACCTGAGAGAGCACAGTGGAGAAGAAAGAGGAAGAAGAGAGAGGGTCCCATTAACGAGAATTATGAGAGGTGGTGTCAGTACCAGAGTGACCTTCTTTTGACCGTTGGATTTTGTTCTCAAGATCTTAACCGTTGAAAATGTACTGTTGGTTTTCTTTATTTGTTTATTTAGCTCTTGGATTCGCTGAAAAGGACAATGAATTATAGTATTTGAAGAGAGAGAAAGAGAGAGATAGAGATGTCATAAATGTTAGCGTTATTATTAGTTTATTAAATATTTTTTCTCCATCCACATTGATGAAAGAAACCCCAAATACTCCCATAATTCTTTTAAATTATTTAAAAAGTATAATGGGAGTATAATATTGTTGAAAAAAATAAAAATTATTGGAACTTTTTGGTAGATCCTCCTCGTTGAAAATTTGGTCAAAGCTGATCTATTACCTAGCCCTGGGCATTTCGGGACGGGAATCCCGTTCCATCCTTACCCGTTTAAAATTTTCCAAACTTTTCGGGAATGGGAATTTGCAATTTCCCGTTTGGGAACATTTATTTTATTCAAACGGGTAAGGGAAGGGTTCGGGAAGGGTAAGGGATTTCCCGATTTTCCCGTTTAAAAAAATAAAAAGTTGAAAATTAGACATTTTTTCTTAAATATCCCAATTTTTCCCATAATTTCCCAAATTTTCCCATAATTTCCCCATATTGTATTTTCCATATTTTCCCGTATTTTCCCGTAATTTCCCATATTATCTTCAATTTTTCCAATTTATTAAGACTTCGGGTATTATATTTTGATTCCCAAATTTTCCATTCCCTTCCCATTCCCGTGATTTCCCTTCCCGTTATAATAAGGGAATGCTTCGGGAATCAAATTTGGTTTCCCAAATTTCCATTCCCATCCCGAACCCGTCAATTCCCGTCCCAAAACCTGTAATGCCCAGGGCTACTATTAACTTCGGAAAGTATCTAAGAAATTTCCGGTGTCTATTTGCTAATGATTGTATTTGACCATTATTTTACTAACAAAAAAGAACTTAGTCATCTTCAAATAAATTGATTCCTTTTGTTATTGTTGAATTGTATGTAGGATTTCAAAATTTGTTTCTAATGATCATTTTGTCGTTGCTATGCTGGTTTGTCTAACGTCTTAAGTCTAACTTCATTTGTTTGAACTTTGAAAGTCGTCTTACGAAGCTTTGTTGGTTTTGATGATTACTGTCGCTTGGGCTTTAACAACCCACTTATATGTTTGATTCACAGGGCTGAGGCAAAGCTTTTTCAGTTTCTTCTATATTTGGGCTTTAACCCATCCTTTGTGTTGGCATCTTCATATTCGTTTGATGATAAAGTGAGATTTCACATTATTTTGAAAATTTTATCACTAAATGCCATTTATCTGTCTGTGATTACCAAGATTCTTTTCATAGTCGGACAAAAACAAATAACATGCATTTAGCCGTTGGAAATTTAAACTTTGAATAATTAAAAGATCCTTTTTTAATAAAATGATTCTGCTTTGAAAAAGGGACAAAAAAGGTTTAAGAGTACAAAATGGTAAAATACCCATATCCATCGACTTCACTGTCTCTATCCTCCACATCTAACGGCTCTCTTTTTACTAACTCTTGAAGATTTCAAATGTCAGCTCTCTTTGAAAAATAGAGTTAATTTTAATTCACCCCAAAAGTTATCAACATTTCCAATTTAGTCCACATTTTAGTTGATTCAAGAGTCAGGACTCAGGAGCTGGAGCCTACTTATTTTCGGAGCTACATGTTAATTTAGAAAGTAAATAGCCGTATCAAGAATATACGTGAACTAAAGGGAGCTATCTGTCACTATTCACTAATAGTAACATTTTAAAAAAGGTTTCTCCTCAGAATTTGAAGTTTTAAATTTCGTTCTGTCTCTTATCCTCTTCTCTCTCATTACTTCAAAAACCGATTATCGCTTCCGATTTCAATTCCACTCTCTGCTTCAATTTCTTCAGCAAATGGGTTGCTGTCTCAGCAAGAAGACGTCTCCATCTTCCTCTTCTCCTCCAAGTGGCGGATCGTTTTCCGTAAAATCCCCAGATCCGAACAAATCCGCCATTGATAAATCTCCGAAAGTTGAATCTGTATCACATGAAGAGAAGCTCGAATTAGAAGAATCCAAACCAAGGAATGAAGTGAAACAAGAAGCGGAGCTACAAGAGAATATCAAGCAAAGGAAAGAGGTGTTCGTGATTAAACATCGGAGGAGCCATGATGAGAGATCCAAGACGACAGATCCGGAGGATTCTTCCGTTTCCGAGGAGAAATCAACCAGCTCGAATCAGAATCCGGTCGATGTAGATGCTATATTGATTCAGTGCGGGAGGCTCAGCCGGAGCAACTCAGCCGCCGCGAAAACCAGGAGGTATTCCGGATCTAAGAGAAGCTTCGATTTTGACCAGAGCGAGCGGAGCCGCGACGGTGACCCGGAGGAAGCGGATGCGGAAGACGGCGGAGAAGAAGAAGCTGAGCGGAGGATTCACAGGCAGCGCCAACGTGGCGGAGATTCGCCTCGGGAACGGAGGAGACGAACTCCGAGCAGAGAACGGGAAGATTCGAAGAGTCACCGATCGGGGAGTCGAGAGAGAGGAAGTGGTGGTGGTAGTAGACGAGTAAGCAGATCTCCGGGAAGAAGATCGGAGATAAACCCGAACCCTAAGATCGGAGATAGCAGTGGCAGTTCTGTGAATTCGAGTAACAACAGACCAGCGAAATTCGTCTCGGTACCTGCAACGGAGAAGAGCAACAACAACGGAGACCCATCGATCAAACGGATCGCCGTCAAGAGAAACGTCGAGAAAACGGCGTCTCCTAGATCACAGTCACCGGCACGAGCTGCGTCTCCGAGGTCAAAATCTCCGGCGAGAGCGGCGAGTAATGCCAGCGTCTACACTCAGCCTTCGCCGTCAAAGCTGAGGCGGAAAACGGACCATTCTCCGTACAGAAGGAACCCGTTGAGTGAGATTGATCCAAACTCGTTGGCGTATCCACAACCTCAAGGTGATAAATCAGGATCTGCTGGTAACAACACCATTTGCATCAAGAAGATGATGAACAGAGAAAATGAAAGCCAAGGATTGATTAAAGAATGTGCAAATCTCGTAGCTCAGGTATGGATTCTTAATCAAATCAAGTATTTGGTATCTGCTGAAATGATGAATGTTTCTATTTTTGAATCAAAATTGTTGGAGTGAATCTGAATGTTTATAATGAATCTGTTTCAGAAGTCGAACGCCAAAACCGCGACTCAAGCTCCAATCCGCAGAACCGCAAGCCCGAGCCGAGTCACCAGAGAGCAACCAGAGGCAGTGGAAGAGACTAAGATGGTGTTGCCATCATCAGGAAGTGAGATCCCTTCAAAGCCTCAGATCGTGAGCCGGAGCAGATCATTGAGGAAGTCCCGTGATTTCGATTTCAGTCCCGAATCATTGCTCTCAAACAGCATCGACAACAATAGCAACAACGCGGTAACAGCAGCAGCATTGCCATCATACACAGCTTTGCTACTAGAAGACATTCAGAATTTCCACCAGAAAAGTGTCAACGTCAATGTCAATGCCAATGCCTTGAGCTCATCAATGTCCAAAGCCTGCTCCATTGTTGAAGCAGTAGCAGACCTTAACTCAACTACGAAGAAGCAAAACCAGAGAACCGAATTCAACAGTTTCAAATCCGCAGCAGCGAAGAAAGCGGATCTAATGGAGCCTAGCTTTGAGAAGTATGTGAATGTGACTGTTAAGAGAGGTGGTTCTTCGTTGGAGGACATGGAACAGCAGGAATCTTCAGGAAGCAACAGCATCACAGGAAGCAGCTGCGTCGTGCAGCGACAAGGGTACAACTCAACATCGTCCTCTTCTTGGGAACCGAATTCAGCTGAATCCACAGATCGAATGAGTGTGGTGAAATCAAACAAACAAGAACGTGATCGGAGTCCATTTGGTGTGCAAGAGTTTGATCCGTTGAAGAAGAATGGTGTTGGAGTTGGACGCAATAGAGTGACTCTTGTTGATTCCTCTTCAACCAAAGGCAGTGTTCTTCAGGCAACAACAACAACTCGTGTTGCTGCAGTTTCAATGTAATGAGAAAATAATGTCTGTTTCTTGATTCTTATTGTACTTTTCCTCCAAACGTTTGTTTCCTTTCTATTGTAATCATTTGGTCAAATTCAAATCTACTTTTCAATTCATCCATCAATAGCTAATGTATCTTTGCTCCGATCTAATTTAAAACTGAATAATCGATCCGAAAAAACCAAATAATTTATTAATCAGACTTAAGTTACCAAACCTTCATCTTCATCTTCATCCTTACAGAGCTTACATTTCACAATAGGTGGCGTTACATGCAAAACCTGATCAATCCTTTTCTCAATCCAAGCTAATCTTCTCTCAAAGCTCAACACACCTCTATGCAAATTCCTAGCATCAATCTCAGCGACTTGAGCGCAAACACGCAGAAGAACGTAGTAATCAGCGTGAGCAGAGTACACCAACTCTCCATCTCCTTTCTTCCTCACATACTGTAGATAGCCTTGTCTCTTCACCTTCACACGAGGCGGTATGTAAACGAAGAAATTATCCGCCATGTCTGTTATCAGTCTGCTTATCGCTCTTTCCTTTGATCTCTCTTCTTGGTTATGATTCTCTGGTGATGATGGAGCACGTTGCAAAGACGGCTCATCGCAGTCCATTGACTCGCTTCTTCCTGCAGGACTAGCACAAGGACTGTTTCCATCACGCAAGTTCTCATCATCGCTCAAGTTTAGTTGGTTAAAAGGTAAATCATCTTCCCAGTCTCTTCCTCTCTTGGATGGAGTCCCAAACTGTTCAAAATCATCATTCTTCTTCTTGTAACCATTCCATAGATTATCAACATTTCTGTATGTATCATCAGCTGATGCTGCTTCAAAACCAGCAAAGAGCTCGTTTTTCCCGTGCGATAAAAACGACAAAAGATCCTTTTTGTGTACTGCGAAACGAAACCAAACATTCAGAGAAGGTTACTAGAAATCCAGAGAGATGAATATATCACAACTCACAAGGGATCAAACTCGTAACAGCGATCTTACCAGGAGTTTCAGCAGCGATCTCGTAATACTTCATTTCAAGGTTCTTCAGAAGCTCTTCAGTTTCATATTCAGTAGCTTCCGTGACATCTGGTAACTCGGCATCATCAACAGATCTCCTCTCTGAAACCTCATCATCATCATCATCATGAACTGGAGAATCAGCCTCTGCCTCACTAACATCGTCACCATCAACCAAACCACCACCTAAACTCCGTTCCCACACGCCGAATCCATTGATGTTATAAATCATCCTTATAGCCACAATAAGAATAGACATGACACAGACACGAGTAGGAAGCCTGTGCTTGTTCTTCGATAAGTATAAATCCGAAGGCATCGACCATCTCTGTATACGACGCACCAAATCAAGAACCTTCTCCTTTGAAACATCTAACCGTTTCAGATAGTTTGAAGCTATACCGTTTAAATCAACAGGAGGCAGAACCAAACCGATGATATCAGCAACAGACGCGGCTCGTGATTCTAAACTCTGAGCAGAGATAATCTCGTCGACGCCAAACATTATCCTCGCTTCCACAGGACAAGCAGCCGATCTCGCTCCCATCTTTTCTTGAATCTTGAGGAAACAAGTTCGATACGGAACCGAGCCTTCCTCTACCCATCTCACTATATCCGTGGGAAGAACAGGTGCACGAGCCTTGTGACAAACAAGGAAAGATATAGCTAGAGAGCTTGACAAAGGCAGAGACTTTCTAAGCTGGCTTGTCCATATCAATACTGCTCTTTTACCTTCAAAGTTACGAGGTTCGGATCCATTTCTGTCTCTGTTACGCCGCTTATGCTCTCTTCCTTCTACCTTTACATCTTCTCCTTCTACAATACCACACAAATAAACCACATCAAGAACTGTTGGAACCAATCTTCACACTATAGTATTCGCCAAATTAACATTTCCATCGTTTATAATCGTTACCTTGTGATTGAAGCTCGGAATTGTGAATAGACTTATCAGCCCAATCATCATCGAAGACGCCGGAGAGAGCGACGAAGCGTAAGCTGATAGGTCCAACCAAACCAATAATCAAAGGCGTCACGTTGAATTTCTCAACCAACGCATCGCACTGAGCCATTATCATCATCAGAAACCCATCGACGTATCGATCTCTCGTCTCTTTGTAATACGCCTCGTAGCTCAAACCTTCAGCTCCAGCTTCTCCGAAATCCGCCGGCTCGGTTGGCTCTTGTTTGACGTGAACGGAGGATCCGGCTCCGGGTTCGAATTTCGGGATCAGGCTCGCGGCGGATTGGAGCTGAGAGCGGAATTGGGAGTATCGAATTGTTTCCTCTGTGTGTATAGGCTGCGCGGGTGTATCCATTAGATGTGTTGGTCGACGGCGAGCGTTGGTGTGTTGATAGACTGCGCCGCGAGTAGTTCCGCCTTCTCCGATTAAATCCTCGTCGTTGACGGCTGTTGCGATTATATCTACCGCTTGAACGCCGCAATCTAGGCAGTAGAAAAACCCATCGTTTCCTTCTTCGATCTTGTCGCTGTCGCACCCAGTGCAAATCATCCTAGTCTCACAGAATGGTAGGAAATTCGAAAGAAGAAAAAAATTAGAAATCTGAGCGAACTTCTAGAACCCTAAATCAGGTTTTAGAAGAAGAAGAAGAAGACGTTTGAAACGGAAGAATCGCGTTCGAAATTTCTGCGTCCAAAACTCGGATTTTTGCCACATGAGTATTTGGCTATTTTCAATCATTTTGTAGGCGTCAACCAATGAATATGCTCCACGTATTAAATACATGAGAATCATTTTTGATAAAAAACACTAGGAGGCCCAATTATAAACAAAACTTTTAATACAGTCGAAACCCATGATCGTTGATAGGTGAAGAGAGAGCGTTTCAATGAGTCTTGAAAATGTGAAAACATCTTTATATATCCAACACATTTAACACAAAGAGATCAACAAAATTCTATTCAAGGAGTTCAATATAGTTACAGGGTCTAACATACTATTCAATGCCTTGATCTGGTTTTAACCCTATACACTCGGCTGTACCAAATAGAATGCAAAACCATATGAAACAAATCAAACTTAACCGGTTTCTTGTGCCACAGGAAATGCTGCTGCACCATCTTGACCCTTGCTTGCATCCCAAGATACCTCTCTTCCGGTATTGACAGCAGAATGTTCCTCAGATTCATAATGTCTTCCTCCTTGACAAACACCGCGAACTCCTCCCAGTCCAAAACCTCGAAAAACGGAGGCACGTAGTTGTCTGCAATGATAACCGGAACACATTCGTTCATAATAGCTTCCACAACCCTAGGCGTGTGGACTTCATAACCCCTCGCACATATACAGTACCTATTCACATAAAAAGTTGAAATCCTCAAAACCAAAAAACAGCTCTTGCATTAACAATCCCTTTTCTTGATCTTACCTGCTGCTCTTCATGTATTCTCTGTACAGTTTCTTGCCTTCAGGGCTACGAGGCATAGGACCGAGAATCTTCATGTCCGGTTCTTTGTTCTCCCAAAGCTGTACAAGAACCGGTCTGAGATAACCGTGCATGCTTCCAGCAAAGAACGCAAGAATCTTCCTCTCCGATGGAGCTTTACCTCCAAGGTACTCAAGAGGAGACTGTGAAGAGCGTATATATGTAACCGGTAAAGCTGTATCGACCCCGATTCTAAACCCTTGCGCAACATTTGAGTTGCAAAGCGCTCGAACACTGTTCCTCATGTGTTTCTTCGTCAGTTTGTTGCCCTGTAAATAACATACAAACAAGAGATTTTTCAGAGCTTAACTACATATCTTTAGCATCAAAGAGAGTATATTGTATATACCCAATCATGGCAAGCGACAAGGAAATGATCGGCTCCACCAGTTCGGTTCCAGAACTTGTACTTTCTTGCAATCAAATCCACATATTCTTTCAAATGGTCTGCAAGATTCTTTGGTGTTTGAAAATCCTGTCCTAGAGAGGTCCTTAGAGCTTTTATACTGACTGGTATGTAGAACAAATGAGCCTTCCTCGGATCTTTTACTACAAACTTCTTGCTGCTCTCCATTAGTTTCATGAACCAACCTTCTGATGCGTAAATCCCTCGAGGATAGGGCTTATGGAATATCGGTTTGGCTCCTTCCTTGTATACATAAACTTTGAGTTTCCTCTCCATCAAGTCATAACTCCTAAATAAGCAACACATCCAAGTCTTTAACACTAACATATCACCAAAGTTTCAAACTTTAACCAACCAAAGTTACATGTTGTGAGAGAGAGGCACCTTTGGAACTTGGAGATATTTCGATAAATCGAAGCGTTAAGTCCAATGAGCTCATGAACAACAGAAGCATTCTCAATCTCGGATCTCGCAGAGAGCATTTCAGAGTCTCTAGCAGATGACCATCGAGGCTTCTGCATATAAATGTAGCAAAGTGAGATGCATTATCTCAATTCTTGAAAGCCTAAAATGGAATATTTCAAGAATCAAAGTTTCTTACAGGAGACTGAAAAGAAGAAAGACTCTGCATCAGCAATGTGTTCATCTGAGATACTGAAACTGAAGAGACTTGCTTGTGTCTCAGAATAGACAAAAGATTACCTTCTCTGCTCTCTTTACCACTAACAAAAACCGAACTTTCCACCGCCATTTTAGGCTTCTCCAATGATACATTAAGCTCTACTTTAACATTGCTTATTGCAACAATCGATAAAGAGACGTCCTTTCTTTGCCCCTTTTCATATTCCTCCTCATATCCATTGCCATCATCATCACCCAATTTTATTTCAGTTTTGACCACAGAAACTTGAGAATCTACAATCCCTGAAACCTTAACCGTAGACGAGCAAGAAGCATTGCGACAGGGGATGCCAAAATACTGAACAAGCAGTACAATAAAACCAACGGTGAAGATGATGCCAAAGAGCAATTTGCGGATGTCAGCATGATGAAATCTCATCGCAGTTGGAATCAATCACAGCAGAAAAAAATGAATTGACTTTCTCATACAGTAGCAATCTTTCTCAATTGGATTCAAAACTCGTAAATAGCTGAAAGTTTTCTTTAGCGCTGAAAAAAGTTTGTGTCTTGAACAGTGAGTGTCAGAGATAAGAGATCATTACAAGAAGATCTTACAGGTCTTGATATGAATCAATCTTGAATGGAGAACTCGAATTGGAATCTGGAAGGTCTTTGCTCAGTAAACTGTTGTTGAAATAACAAGCGATGATATCAATGGGGAGCTTTGAAATATCAATGGGGAGCTTTGAAAAACAAAAATTGGAATAGCCACCAATTTTATTGGAAAAGTTTGACTGTGATTACTAGTGTTGTTGAGGAAGATCTATACAAAAGAAAAAACCTTGAATTGAAGAGACACACACACAACAATGGAATCGGACACTGAGCGAGTGAGCGTAGTAGACCCAAACTAAAGTTCTTCTTGCTTAATTTTTTTTATCTTTTTTTTTTATCATTTTTATCATATTGTAATTTATTTTTCTTTTCTGGAAACATGTATCAAAATTACTAAATATAGCTATTTCTTGGTCTGATAAACTCCAGTTCGGGTTTGTAATTCATTGTTTTCTTTATTAACACCTCTTTTTTTTGTTAAAAGGCCTTTTATTACCACCTTTTGCTTTGGTTTGGTTAATTGTTGATGTAACATGTAAGATACATTTTTTAACTAATTAATACATAAGTGTGTTCGTTGTAAAAGAAAAAAAAAAATCGTCATGACAATAATTTAACCATATAGGCTGAAACAGAAGATACAAATACAAAAACGAAACGCATAAAATACAATCTTGACTACAAAACTTTGAGAAAAAGACATTTAAAATTAGTCGAACTAGTTTCTTTCTAGAAAGCGATTAAATTAATTCTTTACAGTAAAAAAAAAAAAAAAAACTTCTAGATCCGTTGTTTAGCATGCACACGAACTTTCATCCTTTATGTCCCAAGAACCCAGAATTGACATTCAGTTAATTATTCTTCGTTTTACATGAAGTTCCAATTCCAACAAGATTAATCAACGACCAGTGACGAATGACGTTACGTTAGCTAATTAAACTAAGAAATTCAAGCAGTCACGATTACGGTCCAAAAAAGGCGCAAGGAATTCAAAAAGACACGTTTGTGATTTGTGAATATGAAAACTAAATGTTTTGTTATTTCGTAAAGAAGTTGCTTTTTCGCCTACTTTTCTCTTCATACTATTAAACAAAACACCTAACAGCTTTATAAATACAATTAAAACCAAAGATAACGTGAAGACGATCCATCTCTCCATTATTACTTTCTTCTCTTTATCTACTTGAGAATTGTAATTCTTGAAGTAAAACATGTCCGATCACCAGAAAATCTATCCGGTAAGAGACGACCCGGAAGCTCCACCACCGACGCATCCAAATGCTCCCCTAGTTCCACGTGGCTCCTCAAGATCGGAACACGGTGACCCCACCAAAGTTTCTCCGACGCAACCACCACCGTTGGATCCTCCTCCGAAGCTGAAGAAGAGAAGAAGCTGTTTGTGTAGGTGCGCATGTTACACGCTCCTCGTTCTCTTTCTCCTTATTGTCATCATAGGAGCGACCGTTGGTATACTGTACCTCGTCTTTAGACCGAAGTTACCGGATTACAATATCGACCGGTTACAGCTCACCCGGTTTAATCTTAACCAAGATTCGAGTTTGTCCACAGCGTTTAACGTCACCATTACCGCCAAAAATCCCAACGAGAAAATCGGAATTTATTATGAAGACGGAAGCAGAATTAGCGTTTTGTACATGCAAACCAGACTTAGCAACGGTACGTTAAAACAGTTTATAAACTTGGCATTGGTTTAAACTTTAAACTGATTTATAATTTAACCAAACATGCAACCGGTTTTCAGAAAACTAACCGGATCTTCTAAATATTTTACAGGATCATTGCCGAAATTCTACCAAGGACATGAGAATACAACTATGATATTGGTAGAAATGACTGGTTTTACTCAGAATGCAACCGGTTTGATGACGACTTTACAAGAACAGCAGCGGTTAACTGGAACCATACCGTTGCGGATTAGAGTTACCCAACCGGTTAGGATCAAACTCGGGAAGTTAAAGTTGATGGAAGTAAAATTCTTGGTGAGCTGTGGTGTATCGGTTGATAGCTTCGCTGCTAACAATGTGATTAGGGTTAGGAGTAGTAACTGCAAATTCAGGTTTAGACTATAATTTATTTTCCTTTTTCTAAGTCCGAAAATTATTTTAATATTTTACTATTTTTTAATCGGAATTTGCGTTACATTATTGAGGGGTTGAGTCATGAGTGTCGTAGTTCTCCCCCCGATCGATCATCTCCTTCACTTTTCGTTTTTAAAGAATAAACAATTTTGTTACACACCTTGTAATTCATTAGTAAGAATATATACTTTTATTTGTGATTTGGAGACTCAAATGAAAATTTTCTTTCTCATTGACCAAAAAGAAAAGACTGATATATTTTGTTCAACCGTCTAGACCTATTTTCAAGAAACATTTAAGTTCCATCACTTTCGCAAAACATTTTCTTGGCCGGGAAATATCTTTCTTACATTTCAACCAAAGAAAAGAAGAAAAAAAAAGTCAAGACAGAGAGGCTTTTACGTCTCTTATCTTCTGGAGACAAAGATGAGCCCTTTCAAGAACCATTTCAACTCTACTTTTTCTCTTCGTGACCACTCTTTGAGCCATCTCGGTATTGTTCTTGTGGATCTTTTTCGTTGATGACGACGATGATGATGATGACGAAGATGCTTGATCTCCAACATTTTCCTTGACGTACTTTCTCTTCTTGTGTTTTTGCTTTTTCTTACAATTTGATGACTCTGTCCAATGCATTGACAACAACTTAATGGCTGATAACACAATAGTATAATACCATTTTTGTTTTGGTGCAAACACAATACCATACGTGTACAGAAAATCTAGACTACATTTAGATTCGAATTGACTTGATGATTAGTTCAGTCTATCAATTGTCATGAGTCATGATAGTAACTAATTAACAAGATGGTAAAGACTAAGTATGATATGGTGATTGGTGACTATGTTAAAAAAATAGTTTCTAGATTTACTGCATAACCACTTATGTAGACACTATATATATGCATTTGCATTGATATAGTCGTTTGATATATTCATTACAAACTAAGAATTAAATGTTGATGATAACAAAATGACAACACAATTGAAAAACGTTTCTGAATTACAAATTTCAGTCATTAGTATTTGACATATTTTTTTAGTGAAAAATAAAGTCATATAAAACACATGGCATCAATGTGTAAAGTATTTTAAACTGAGCTATTTTCCAATTGGAAGAAACCCACGTAATCAAAGTGTAGTGTAAAACTACCAAACCAAAAAAAAACTATCAAATTTGTTTTTTCCCAAATATTTTAAAGAAATCACACGTTGTTGCTGCTGTAAAATCCAAACCCAAAATTTTACATGATTCGATGAATACCGTTTTTTCCAATCACACTGTAGTACTGTACCGTTTATTAATTTCCATAAATGGTGATAAACTGCCCATGTTTCTGAATAGATGATCAGACAGATATTTTGTAATTCCTTTCCCTTACTGAACATGAACAAAGCAAATGTTTATGTCTAGAAAACATAACCAAATAAAAAGGTAACAGAAAAATGATTAAATAATATATTTATGTCTTGTCGAATTTCTTTTAAGACGTGTTGTCAAAATCAATTTAATTTTTGGCGTGGGAAATTCAATCGACTTCATACAAGAAAAAATGAACTGCATCGAACATCACATACATGACGACAAGAAAAAGTTGTGTCAAAATTCTACAATCTGATTGTTCATGTAACTAATACTACTAATTCAGAAGTAAAGCATTTCATTATTTGATTAAGCATATCTCCATTTTGAACTCGATTTCATCATGATTCATGAGTCCATGTCCACATAGTAAAGACAGACGTAAACAAGACTGTAGAAGTACCTTGAGTGAGGATGACGGAGGAGGGGGAGGAGGAGGAGGAAGCAAGCGGCGGCGCGTGATCTTCACGGAGGTTGGAAATGAAAGACTGGAGGTCGGATTTGAGGTAGGCGTAGCGGTTTGGATATTGACTCTGAAGGATCTCGAGCTCTTCTTTAGCCGTTTCCACTAGTTGCATCTCCCACGACGACATCGTCACCAAAATACCTTCTTTCTTCACTTCTTTTCACTGCCCGAGACCTTGAGAGAGAGAGAGATAGAGACAAGACTAAAGAAGAGAGAGTCTGACGGGTTTTGGAGGGTATTTCCGTCTTTACATGATGCACGTACGGATGTGACAGTTCGCAGAAGACACGGAAAGGTATTTTTGTGGTTTCTTTTCCTTTTTTAACTTGGAAAAGACAAAAACAAGTTTGGTTTCTAGTTCCTACGCACCAAACCAAATTTGGGACTAGTTCACTTTGTAGTTTGTACAGTGCTTTATTTTTTTTTAATTCAATTGTATTTTCTTAATTTGGGTTATTACTTTATTTGCATAAATATCCAATCATAAAGCACAAAATGTAGTATATTAGAACTTTGTATTATTCAATAACGAATTAACAAAGTGTCCAAAGAGCTGTGTACGACTAACTTAAACCTCGAATAAACATACAACAATGTGGTTTTTGCAAATACGAAAGGAATTTGAAGTGGACAACTTGCGATGCGAAGTATGTGTTGTCGTTGGCTCAAACCGCAGCAGAACAAGAAACCAACTCAGTTTCCGGATTTTGTTCCATGAGCAGATCTTTAGACATCGCAGATGCTATTCTGTGTCGTTTCAATATCTTCGAAGTGGCAATTCTTGCTGATTCGTAGTGCAAGCCGAGTACTCTCCCTTCCTCTAAATCTATCCTCAGATTCTCTGTTTTGCAATTCTCTATGAGCTGACATAAATGTCTCAGATTATCCACCTCCACTCCATTCACTTTCTTCACCTGTTTCCATCAACCAAAATACAAAAGAACAGTTTTAATCTTTCATATTTGTTGCTATTTTAGTTACTGCTTCCTAGAAATGTATGCCAAGTAGAGAAAGATCTATGTCATGAAAAAAGGATCTTATAGATATTGTTGTACTTACTTGCAACTCTGCAAGACGCTCGTATCCTGTATTGCTATCATCCATTAACACCTATCAACCAGAGACAATGACAAGTTCTTGACTTGATAACGTTTGTGGTAGATAAATCTTTTGCGAGCAAAACTGCAACTCTTCTTGGCACTAAGAAGAGGACTAGGCAAAAGGAAAGCAAACAAACCTGAGAGACGATGACAAGTTCTTGACCGGCTTTTTTGGGTATATCTCTTAACGCACGCTCGCACAATCTGCGAGGAGAAATGTTATACCAATCTTCTCCATACTCATGAAGGTATGGCTGAGTGAGAGGTATGAATACAAAGCCCGCAAATATGTAATAACTTGGAAGCTGGTCGAACTGATGCACTGGAACCAGCGGTTGCAGCTGCAAGCAACAGAAATCTACTAAGCTCAGAAGAACGAATACGAACCAAATGATCAGACCAAACGACTTACAGGTCTTAGAGTGATACTAAACTCATGTTCCTTTCCTTCTCTCAAGACTTTAAGCAAGGCTGTTTCATCTGGTTTCTTCATAGAAACCAGATGATCGAAAGTTATTCGCTCCTTATTCCGAAAATGAACTGCAGTACATGAAAATACACACTTTCACTACCAAATATTCAGCATTAAAGTTCATGGAAATATTAGAGGAAAATGTGACCTGTTCCATCATTTGCTATAGGAACACCATCAAATGCGAGAATAACATCATCCTTCTTCAGAATCCTATGAGCATCCGACAGAGGGTTGATTCTGCTTATAAGAACCCCAGTCATTTCTGAGCTCATCTGGAATATACTTCGGATTTGTGCATTCTCCATAGACTGACATGATACACCCATTGAGCAGAAACCAACGTACTTGCTGCATTCTTCAACACCTGTTATGAAATGTTTAATAACTGGCGTTGGAATTATATACCTGGAATTTCAGAAACAGAATATTAATATGTTAGTTTAAACCATGGCTTGTCAACATTGGTTTGTCATTGCAAATTTTATAGCTTTTGACTCACCCCATGTTCTCAGCACCTGAAAGATTCTGAAACGCTACACCAGCTACTTTGTTTCCCATGATTGCCGGGCCACCGCTATTCCCGGGGTTGATCGCTGCATCTATTTGTATAGCCATCAGCTGCGTTGCTCCGTGAACATACTGTGTGAGCTCCACTCGAGACACAACACCTTTTGTAACAGAGATGTTGTCACCACCTGCACTAAACCGCATAACATTTAAGGCTCAAATCCATTACTGTTTCTTTTGGAAACTCTTAAGCCAAACATCACACGTATTATCTTCACATAAACAATCCACATTTCAAGTATTTTGCTTCCTATAAATGTGAAGGCCTGAAGAAGTACCTTGAGGATAGCCAACAACAGATACTTCTCCCTGAAGAAGCGGTATATCACCAAGCTCCAAAGGATTCATACCTTCCCAAAACACTTCACTCTCAATCACCAAAATGGCCAAATCACATTCATGACCAACCGCTTGAACTTTTGCTCTGTGCTTTATTGGCGATCCATGCTTTCTAACGAGCACGAATGAGTGATCAGCAACTACGTGAGCGTTCGTTATAATCCTTCTTCCCGAAATTACAAATCCTACATCAAATGGCAAAACAACGATTCAAAGCCAAAAACCATGCCAAGATACAAACTTTAACACCTCGAGCAATTCCAAAATGCTACAAAAATCCCAAAATGTAAACTTTTTGGTCACTGAAGACTTAACTATGGAGCCAAAATCAATTTGACAATCTGTAATTAACAAAAACTTATAAAACAGTTAAAAAAATTCTGCAATTCAAGTCAAAAACCATGCCAAGATACAAACTTTAACACCTCGAGCAATTCCAAAATGCTACAAAATTCCCAAAAATGTAAACTTTTGGTCATTGCAGACTTAATTAACTAAAACTTATTAAACAGTTCAAAAAATTCTGAAACTTTGAGTTAACAAAAATTTGGTTTTTGGAAATGTAGAAGACAGATTGATTATACATACCAGAGCCCATGGATTCTCGTTGAGACTTATTCTGCCAAGGAAGGAAGTAACTAGGACTCGTGGAAACGGTGAAGATCTTCACCACCGAGTCAAGCGCCAAATCTACGGCAGAGGAATACGCCGGCGAGTTTGGCGATTTAATTCCGGATTTTTTCCTCCGCCGTGAAATCTTTCTGATATTAATCCGCTGTGGAGAAACCGGTGATGACGTAGTCGTGTGCTGATTCTCATTTGGCGAATTCACGAGCGAAGAGTAACAGAAGCGAGAAATTGGAGTGGAGAAAGCAGTCTCCGTTGTTGTTACTACTCTGTGTGGTAGGTAGCTTCGGAGAGCATTGCAACGTTGTGAGAAAGAAGGATAAGTAAGAGACGACGAAACTGAAGAAGCGGAGATTCGGCGGAGGTGCTCGACGGTGCGAATTGACCGGAGCAGCATTTTCTCCGATGCTGCTTTGTTGGGTTCTGAAAAGAGTTTTAAGCGGCTAGGTTAATTTTTTTAACAGAGTTTGTTAACCGATTCGTACCGACCGGTTTAATCTGGTTTGAGTTTAAATGCAATTAAAACCATAGGATTAACTCACCATTCTGGGTGTTCAATCCGGATATCGGTTCGGTTTCGGTTCGGATTTTTTGATATTCGGTTTTTCGGTTAATTAAAAACAGCTACCATATTAGAACCATACTTAGTTGGGGAAATTTCAAAACTACACCTCTTCAGGTGCAAATTTTTAAAAATACACCTCTATGGTGTTTATTTTCAAAACTACACTTTCATGGAGTAAAAGAACTCTAAACCCTAAAATATAAATCCAAAACCCTAAAATCTAACATTGAACCCTTAAATCTAAACCCTAAAACCCAAAATCTAAACCCTAATCTAGGATTAGTGAACCCAAACATATATATTAAAATTAGAAAAAGGTGTATTTTTGAAAATTTTCACACTATAGGTGTAGTTTTGAAAATTTGCACCCCAAGAGGTGTATTTCATAAAATTTCTCTACTTACTTCGGTTTGAATATTTTCGGTTCGAATAATCTCGGTTTTCGGGTTATTTATACTTTTTGTTTGATTATTATTTTATTATATAAATATTGTAGTCTTTCTTGTAATGGAATGATCAAATTCAAATATGAAAATGCAAGTTCATGTCTTATTTTAAAATATAAAACTCTAAAGATTTTAGTATCTAGGGTTTGTTAATTGCTAAATTTTGGTAAACTAAAGATATATAATTCTATATGAGATTACTCTAAACTTATATTATTATATATCATATGTGTATATTATATACTATTATATTAATATATAGAATTATTCGGTTTTGTGGTTCGGTCGGTTAATATCCAAACCATATCAATATCCACGGTTTATATAAAATTGCATTCATACGGTTTATACGATGTATCGAAATCCAAACCACATGACCTATTTCGGTTCGGATCAGATTGGTTCGGTTTGGTTTTACCAAATTGAATTTCTGAATGCATTTCATCCATATCACACTCTTTTGATCTATGATTTTTAACAAGTTTAAAATTACTTCTTGAACTGAAAATTATGCAAATGAATGTCCAACGATTCTTGTTGATTTCTTCATCAAAAGTTCACATGCTTGCTTTCAACGAAGCAGTGGTTTGATTTCAATATTTTTCATAACTCAAGAAAACCATCTAATATATTTAATATTAAGTTTTAGTAGCCAAAAGAAAGTTAAAGAAATAACGAAAATAGAACAATTTGCGAGTGTTTGTACATCCTCTAGAGAACAACACAAAGCAGTAAAACTTTTCTACTTACTTCCTAAATTGTTTCTCATTGGTAGAAAAAGCTCTCTATCGCCTCCCTCTCTTGTTGTTTGAGCAGCATTCCGATGTTTTCCATCGGGATGCGCAAAGCTTGTTCACGTTCAATTTCTCGCAAGGTGTACACAAACTCTTTGAGTGTATAATTTTCTTCTACACTAAGACGACTGAATACAGTCTGACAAAACCATGGAGTCAAACTGCGTCGAATCTTATCGATGATCGTTTGATCAGGAACTACGCTTCCATAGAACTTTGACCGGTTCACAACCTTCATGAATCTCTCACTGAACTCATGAAAGCTTTCTTCGTTCTTCATCTTCATGTCAAAATACTCACGCACAAGAAGCCCACTTTTCCTAAGCTGCATCGCCTCGGTCTCTCCATAATCTGCCTTGAGAATCTCCCATGCTTGCTTTGACGATGTAGCTCTTCCTATCCGGTAAAAGATAGACTCTGTAACTGACGTTTGCAGCATATGAAGAGCCGTCATATCCTTGATTCTCACATCTTTCTGTCTCTTCTTATCAGATTCTTGGTGCGTGTTTTCTTCCGAGACTCCAATTGCTACAACATCCCAAAGGTCACGAGCCATCAAAAGCGTCCTCATCTTTGTACTCCAGATCTCATGGTCGTCTCCATTAAACAACGGGATTTGCATCTGCATTCCAGCTTCCATAGCTACAAAGATCAAGCTAGGCAAGAACGTCATCAATCAATAACACCATATTACAAAACCAAACAAAGCTAGCTAGCTTCTTCTAAGTTTGAGTCCACATCCACAAAAGAACCAATTCCTAAAAACCCTAACTCCAACAAATTACAAACCCTAGCTCCTTTAAGTTTGAGTCTTCCTATAAACCCTAACTCCTCTATTACCAAACTAGCTCCTTTTAAGTATGAGACTGTATGAGTTCACGAAATTAAAGCACCAATTACTTAAAACACAAAACCTAAATTACCAACCCTAGCTCTTCAAATCGACGATAAAGAAACAATCTTTCAAACCCTAATTAATTAAGAAGTTCAAAAACCCAAAAGTCGTTTATTTTTTTTGTTTTAGTTTTGATTATGTGTACAGCAAGTATCTTAGAGATAATTCAGTAAGCGAGAGAGATTTTTCCGAGAGTGAAGAAATTACAACTTGCTTTTTTTTTGTAATAATGTTTTACCTAACGTCGTAAGAACTGCAAACAAGAAGAGTTAAAAGTTCCTTCTGGTTTTTTCCTAACTTATTTTTATGGCGTCTCGTAGCTGTAACATATATAGGTCTGGTTGATGGGTCAAAATCCGGTCCACACAATTGTTTTGTGTCTCAAGAAAACGGAAAAGCTTAAAATTGGAAAAACAGCATTGTATCAAAAAGTTAAATAAACTTCCTACTAACCAATGTTTTCCAAACTTTAAAAATTTTAAAATTTTGGAGGTGAGGAGTGGATCTCTAAGTCACATCTCAAAGTGACTATCGTTCGAGATCTGGGCTTTGCCTTGAAGTCTCCATTGACGCATTTGAGCCTTGTCTCTACTTTGCGATCAAGTTATCTTCCATTTGCAGCTGTTTTAGCTTTAATTGTTGTTATGCTTTGTTGTTTCTATTTAAGAGGATGGCTAATTCCCTCTGTTTGGTGTAAGTTGGCGAATTAAGTTTGAATGAAAGTAGTTGTTGACAAAAAAAAAAAAATATCACATTTTTCATTAAGTAAATAAAACCATTATGGTTTCGTAAACTTTGGGATTCTTGTTTCAACAGTCACATATTGAACTAAAGATTTACCCTCTGATTGATTACCTAATCTGAAGAGAAAAAAACGAGCTGACTACGAATTGAAAAAATGGTTCAAGGTGGTCAATTTTAAGAGATGAAAAAGGACACTGAAATGGTTTAGACTTTAGAGCAAAGGCCACATTTTGTATATTTTGGAAATATAAGCCTCATCTTTGCTATGGGCTACGTACACGTTAGGTGTTACTAACTTGGAATTTGAAAATGTCATTTTTCAAAATGACTCCAAAAACTTAATACATGCCATCCAAGATCCATATCAAATATTTAAAACTAAGATTTAAGAGCCAAAGAAAGTTAAAGAAACTACCAAAATAGAACATTTTGTTTAAAAGCAAAAGAAATTACAAAACAGAACATTTTGCGAGTGTTTGTTTGTTCATCCATCTACAGAACAACACATCACTCTTTCTACCAAACTCCGAAGCAGCAACACAAGTAGAAAAAACTCTCTATCGCCTTCCTCTCTTGTTGTTAGAGTGGAGCTGCGCAGCTTCTTGGTTTTGCGAAGCGAGTTCACGGTCGAATTCTCCCAAGATATACAGAAGTTCACTGAGTGTATAATCTTCAGAACGAACGTTGATTACATACTGATTAAACCTTGGAGCCAAACTGCGAAGAACCCTACGGATGAGCTCTTGATCAGTAATCTCGTGTCCATAAAACTTTGACCGGCTCACGACTTCCATGAACTTCTCAATGAACTCATGAAAGCTTTCTTCGTTTTTCATCCTCATGTCATAAAACTCCAACACCAGATCCTCCCTTTTCCCACTCTGAATCAGCTCGGTCTCTCCAAAATCTGCCTTGAGAATCTCCCATGCTTGCTTGGACGATGTAGCTCTTCCTATCCTGAGAAAGATAGAATCTGTTACTGACATTTGCAGCATATGAAGAGCCGTCATATCCTTGATTCTCAGATCTTTCTTGGTTTCTTCCGAGACTCCACTCTCTACAACATCCCACAGGTCACGAGCCATCAAGAGAGTCTTCATCTTTATACTCCAGATCTCATGATCCTCTCCATTAAACAACGGAATTTGCATGTGCATTTGAGCTTCCATAGCTACAAAGATGAAGGCAGGAACTTCTTGAAAATTACAAAATCTACAAAACTACCAAAGCTATAGCTCCTTTAGGTTTTTAGTCCACAAGAGAGTTCCAATTCCTAGAAACCCTAACTTCTAAATTACAAACCCTAGCTCTTCAAATCGACAGTAAACAAACAATCCTCCAAAGTCCCTAATTAAGTAATTCAAAAACCCAAAAATCATTCTGTGTTTGAGTTTGAGATCCAAAACTCAAAATGGTTTAGAGATTTTCAGTAAACGAGGAAGATTTTTCCTGAGATTCAAGAAATTACAACTTGTTTATTCATTATTGTAAGAGTTTTTTACCTGGCCTCCTCGTAAGAACCGGAGAATGGAGATACCAAAAAGTAGAAGAAGAGTCAAAAGTTCTTTTAGTCTTTTACCTTGTCGTCTGGCTGTTGCGACTACTAGCAAATATAGGTCTGGTTGACCCAGCCCGGTCCATCATGGATTGGTGTTTTTCTTGTTGGGTCAAAAATTAAGAATCTATTTTCTCATCTTTAGTGTATGTACTATTGCTATTGCTAGGTCTATTCATTTCTTACTAGACTAATACCCGCGCATACGCTGGTTATTTTTATTGTTATATTTTAAAAATATATTAGAAAAGAACTATAGATTTATGATTAGTATTAGAAAATCTTACCCTAATAACATCGACATTTTAATTACAACTGTATAATTAGCAAGTACTGATTCAAAATAGAAACTTAAGGATAATACTTTAAAAGTCATAGTGGTTTTAATTATAATAAAT